GTATGACCCTGGGCAAGTCACTTAACCCAGACTGCCTCACCAAAAAGAAAAAAAAAGTTAATAGTGAATTCTTGTCCCAAAAGTCTGGATCTTTGCATTTATCAAACACAAGATTACTGTGGTTATTTCCTACTATGTATTGTGTATCTAATCTATTCTGCTGATCCACCACTCTATTTCTTAAACAGTACCAGATTGTTTTGATGATTATTGCTTTGCAATATAAGTCTGAGATCTGGTACTGCTAGGCCACCTTCCTTCACATTTTTTTCATTAATTACCTTGATATTCTTGACCTTTTGTTCTTCCGGATGAATTTTGTTATTACTTTTTCTAGCTCTATAAAATTATTTTTGGTAGTTTGGTATGGCACTGAATAAGTATATTAATTTAGATAGAATTATCATTTTTATTATATTGACTCAGCCTACCCATGAGCAATTAATATTTTTTCAGTTGTTTAGATCTGACTATTTGTATGAAAAGTGTTTTGTAATTGTGTTCAAATAGTTCCTGGGTTTATCTTGGCATTATTTTATATTGTGTATAATTATTTTAAATGGAATTTCTCTTTCTATCACTGGCTACTAGACTTTGTTGGCAATTTATAGAAATGCTGATGATTTGTGTGGATTTATTTTACATACTGAGAATTTGCTAAAGTTGTTAATTATTTCAACTCATTTTTTAGTTGATTCTTTAGGATTCTACAAGTATGCTATCATATTGTCTGCAAAGAGGGATAGTTTTGTTTCCTCATTGCCCATTCTAATTCCTTCAATTTCTCTTTCTTCTCTTATTACTATAAGTAGCATTTCTAGTACAACATTGACCAATAGTGGTGATAATAGGAATCCTTGTTTCACCCCACATCTTATTGAGAAGGCTTTTAGCTTATTACAGATGATATTTGCTATTGGTTTTAGATAAATACTACTTATTATTTTAAGGAAGGTTTCATTTATTCCTATACTTTCTAGAGTTTTTAATAGAAGTTGTATTTTGTCAAAAGATTTTTCTGAATCTATTAAGATAATCATATG